TTTACGCTTCATAATACTCTACAGAAGCAGCTATGTGGTTCCCAGAGGTGCACTCGATGGACACTAGGTTCCAGGTGACCCCAATCCACTGAAAGGTGCCAGATTGCCCCAGGAGAGAATGAATTTCCCCCTATTCTTGACCATGTCAGTAAGATATTTCCGTTGTTGTCTGAAACCTATTTTCTCGTAACTTCCTAGACTGGGGGTTTGCAAACATTTTCTGTAAAGGACCAGGTAGTAAATATTTCAGGTTTTTTGAGCCATACAGTCTCTGCTGCAACTACTTAACTCTGCTCTTGTCATGCAAAAGCAGCCAGACAATACATAACGAAGAGGTGGATCTATATTCCAATAAAACTTTATTTACAAAAGCAGACAAAGGGCCGGCAGACCCCTGCTCCAGACCATGAGCTCCTTATGGAGGGCCGTGCCTTATCTTTGTAATTTCAGCCCTACCAGTAAAATCTGTCTCAATTTTGCCAAAGAGGGAATGGAAACACAGAATCACAGACACTGATTTTTGAGGAAGGCAAGCCCTGAAGTGCACCTGGCTGTGAACTGCACTTGTGAAGTGAACACAGATACTGCACCTCTCATGTTAGACATGAGCTAGTGGGGAAAATTAAAGCCAACACAAAGCAAACAGATCTTGTCCTCACAAAGCCTCCCGACTGGCCTGGGTCTCAGCAAACCCATGTGATTGCAGGATAGTTCTACACCACTTGAAACTCTGAGCTGGAACCGGGTGGTGACAGCTCTCAAAAGCGTTTCAGATGCTCCCAGAGCTCACGGCTGGCAAGTTTGCGCACCCTCAGTTTTCTGTGAATGGTTTAGTTTCGTAGCCCAGGACCCCCGGACAGGTTTTAACCTGTCTGAAAATAAAGCCTTTTGATTTATTCCTATGAGACCGTCCTTCACAGACAGGCTTCGGTTTGGACTTGTAGGGACCTGAGAGGGTCCCTAGACGGTCAAAATCCCATAGATTGGGATTTTGTCACAGAACTAGTACCTTGCAAAGCCTATTTCTAATTAAGGTCAAGTCCCATAGACTTTCCTCTACACTCCATTTTGCCCCATTGTTAGCCCACATCTAACAGTTACAAAACATTTTGTGAGTCTTGTTTCCGCGTCTGTAAAATGGGGACGAAGAATTAAAATTGCAGAATTAAGTTAATGAACCTACAGGAAGATCACTGAACCAAGCACAGGGCTTGCCACGCTGTAGGCGCTCAAACCCCTTTAGCTGCCATCCCTGCTATTCCTTACTCCTAGGACCCCCAGCGCCCGCCCCCAGGGGCTGGATCAAGTCCGAGGGAGGACGGCAGGAATGTGGCAGGGGTCACCCCCTCGGGGTCGGACCCCTAGGCGCCGTCGGGGTATGGCTGAGCTCAACCGGCCCCAGCCCGACGCCCCGGGTCGCGGCGGGCGGCGGAGCCCAGGAATTTCCACTTCCGCCAGAGGCCAGTCTGAAATAGCCGCTTCCGGCCGCGAGCTGGCTGGAGCCCGGGCCGCCCCGCGGTGGGCGGGGCCTGGGAGAGGCCACGCCCCCAGCTTCCGGCTCGCATCTGGCTGCTCCAGGCACCGCCGCGCCGCTCCTGGCTCCAGTCGAGCCCGCCCCGCTCTGCTAGGCCCCGCCCTCCCATGACGTCACTTCCGGGGCGGTCCGGGCGGGGCCCGAGCTGGGGTGGCTGACCGCAGCAGTCCTGGCCGGGGGCCGTGCTGCTCCACTGCCGGCCACGTCCCCACGCCGGACCGCGGGCGCTTCCCCGCCGTCCGAGGGCCGCCGGGCCGCCGCAGGCCTGCCGCGCCCGGGTAAGGGACCCGCGCTGCCGTCCGGGGAGCTGCTGTCACGGCTGCCTGAACCGGCTTGGGGCTGAGAGAGGGAGGAATGGGGCGGGAGGAAGGTGAATGGGGGCAAGAGGGGCAGCGGAGGTGAATGGGGGCAGGAGGAGAGTGAATGGTGGAGGAGACGCAGAGGAGGGCGAGTCGGAGCAGGAGGGGCAGAGAAAGGTGAACGAGGGCAGAGGAGGCAGAGGAGGTGAATGGGGGCCCGAGAGGCTGAGGAGGGCGAATGGGGACAGGAGAGGCAGGGGCTGTGAACGGAGGCACGGAGTGCAAGAAGACGAGGATTGGAGGTGAAGAAGGAATGGAAGGAGTCAGTTGGACACCGAGACTCGACTCGGAAGGAGCCTGGATGGGGGCTGGAGAAAAAGGAGGAAGGCAGAAGGGGATCCCAATCCAGACAAGAAGAGGCCCGCATTGTTCCAGTTTGGGAGTGGAGGATGGGAAGGTTGGGACACTCCCAAATGAGTGAGGAACTACAAGGTCTCCCAGGGAGGCCAGAACCAGACTGGGCCCCAGGAAGTGTTGCCCTCAAAGAAAGAGTTGGCCCTTCTGGTGACCCAGGCCTTCTCCAGGCCCTCTCTTCCTAGGAGGGGACTGTGCATTTTCATCCACTGCCTGCCTCCTCCCTGTGAGTCTGGATGGCTGCTTAGAGTGTGCAATTAATTGTTAGGCTGATAAGAGGAATCAGCATCCACATGGTTTGCCATAAGACATACATCGTCCTTAGAAGTCTGCCTATAACAACATGCAGTTATTTTTTTCCTTCCTGGAGGAAGCATCTCTAAAATTTCAATAAAATCGGTAAGGAAAGTATTTAATATAGGAATTTGCTGCTTATATGCTGGACTTGCCTAAAGGACAAAGGAATGTCAAATTTACCCACATTGCCAGCAAAAACTATGACCTTGATCAGCATTTAGCTGTGATACCAAAACTTCCTGAAACCTGCAAGCAAACAATGTAATTAAGACGATACCCAGTGCTCCAGGTTCCCATCTGTCACAGAGACCCATCCTTTGGACCACAGGACAATGTCTGTATACACAAAACCGCAAGCCTGTGTTCCTTGCGTTCTGCTACCAAAGTTCAGCCGGGCAACGTGTCAAGATATGGTATCTGTGGTTTGCCCTGTATCTGCTTCTGCAATTCTTACTCCTTGGTGTGTATAGCTTCTCCGGATTGGAGCAGGGGCCCTGGCCACGTTGCTGTGGATAAATAAGTATTACTAGCGTGACGGAATGTGGGGGTAACCCTGGTAGTCTCTTACCAACCCTGAGGATTACTTGTATTGGATCTGAGGAACCTGTCTAAGCCAGAAAAAGGAATTAAGCAATTAATTTGGAGTCTGATTTCGTGTAACTTACACGAAATCAGTGTAAGTGTTATATGCAGCACCCTGCATATACCAAAGAGGTCTATAGATGAGTTAAAAATCAACGCAAGGTGGGGAACACAAGAAGAAGGGAGATGGGGGTTGTTAGGAGGCATCACAAGGTCACGGAACAGAAGAGGGTCAGGAAGTTGGCACCCAGGGCCACAGTCTGGGGATGCCTTTTTAATGGAAGTGTCGCCTGGCTCAAGGGAGTGCTGCCACTTCCATGCAGAACTTGTGGGGGGCTGACCCCCGCAAAAGGGGAACTCCCAGCACCAGCCTAACCTCGTGCCTCCATCTGCCCTGGTCTCCCCCTTAATACTAACAATTCTTTCTTTCTTGTTCCCCTCCTGCCCCGGGGGTCTCTCCGTTCCATCTGTTATGGTCTGAGACTTTGATCTACCCAGTCTCCCTGCACCAGAAAATAATGTGAATAACTGGCCAGGCCCTCATTTAAGGCTCCCTGAAGCCTTTGCAGGGGAAAATATTATTTTAAATCTTGTTGATGGTTTGTCCATTGGGAGTCAACTTATAAAGATTAGTGCAGATCCCCACATGTGAATCTTGACATTTAGAATATGCTGTTGGAAAGTGGAGGCAGGACCATACCAGAGAGATGAAGTCACGGCACAACGAGGGCCTGTTCTTGACTCTACACGGCAGCCAGTGCCTGTTTCTGTGGGAGTGATCACCAGCCCCGCTGGCTGGGGGTTTATAAACAGTGATGGTAACCAGCAGAAGTTTCCTGAGAAATGTATGGGGTTTCCTGAGATAGCCTTATAGAGATGCTCCATGTATGCATTCGTCTTTGCATTTGTAACTGTGGGTGTGATTGCACACACGCATGTATGTGACTGCATGTGTACACATAGGGCAGTGTGCGTGCATGTGTGTGCCTGTGCATGTATGCGTCTGTATGTCTGTGTGTGTACATGTGGGCATTTGTGTTAGGGAGTGGGCCCGTGGTGCTCCTCACACCTGCCAGTATCTGCCACTGTAGGAGGGGATGAACTGTCTCTTTATTGTCCTCCTGAGTTACGTTACATATTCGTCAGTGAGAGAATCGTTTGTGCTGGTTAATATCTTTGCATTACAACTGTACTACTGGATTCCTTTAAAGCTTTGGTTGACTCCTAGAAAAATGCATTTCCTGATATGTAAATCATAAAGTTTCTCTAAATTATTAAAATCTATACATGAAACTGTATCAAGTGGGATTCCTCTGTGCCTTTCTGCCTGGTAGGTCAAAGTACTTGAAGAAAATCGGACGTTTTCTTTCATTGCAGTCTTTCAGAAGTGTTTTCCAAGAGTGATACATGCTTGTAAAAAAAAAAAAGACATAAAGTAGAAAATGAAAATCACCGGTAATTCCATTCCTCAGGGGCAACCGTTATTAACGTTCTGGTATAAATCTTTCCAGACCCCTTGACGCGTGTTAATTTAAACAAAAATAGGATACTGTTTGTGACCTGCTTTTTTCACTTAATGATACATGCTGGGCATCTTCCCTTGTCAATAAATAGAAATTTGTATATTTTTTTACAGTTGCCATAGTATTTTATATATGAATGGGACCATATTTTATATAACCATTCCAATTCTTCACTATTATAAATAATGCCACGATGAACATTTTTGTAGATCTCTCTCTTTGGACTTCTGTCCAATTGCCTCCTTAGAAGAAATTCCAGCACTGGAAAGTGCTACATCAGAAGTTTGGACATTGAAGGTTTTAATACATATTGTCATTTTCCCAGTATAACGATGTACTGAATGCTGCTATTTCAGTGCTTCCGTCCTCATGGGAGGTTTTCCCCTTGCTTCTCCTAAGGGGTGTTTACTCTTTCAAACCCTAGATGTTACCAGAGTGGAGCATCTGCCTGCGTCCCACGTGTGCCACAGAGCATGCCATGGCCTGGGAGTGTTCCACGAAACTGCTATCACCTGCAAAGCCAGACCTCACCCAGCGAGCACACGGTGCCAAGCCCGCAGCTCTCCAAGGAGGAAGATGGCCCAGCCTGGGGGCACGCCCTGAGCAGCTGCCTCTGGTGAGTGTCTTCGGCCTGCCCCTGCAGGCGGGGCTGCCTGGTTGATGACAGGACAGTGAGCCCAGAGAGGGCCCTGAGGGGGCTTTGTAGGCTCAAGGAGGGTCAAGGAAAAGGGGAAGACAACAAAGCCCGGAGGGCCCGGTCTATGGCCCTTCACCATCAGAGGTTGTGCCTTCTGAGGTAGTGCAGGAGGATGGTCCACTGGTGGGAGGGGATGGGGACCATGTGGTCCTCTGTGGTCCTCTTCTGTTTCTGTGGCAAATGCCAGTCACCACAAGAGGTTCTCTCTGGCCTTGTGTTGTAATACGGTAATACTTGTGGGAGCCCCTCTTGCTGCACAGGCGGAGGGGGCTGCATCTCCCTGATGCGGGGGGTGGAGGCGACACCTCATGGCAGAAGGGGCCCGGGGAGGAGACCAACCAGCAGCTATCCTCGGACCAGGAATGAAATGGTCCTGTCTGTTCCAGGGTGGGGAACTGGAAGGGAAGGAGGGAATCCATTCAGCCGGTTGAACCAGTTCCTCCCTGCCTCCACCCACTCTTAAGTGCGCCGAAGTGCTAGAGCAGGGCGTGGCAAACTCAGCCTGTGGGCCAAGTCCCACCTGCTGCCTGTTTTTGTCGATAAAGGTTTATTGGGACACAGCCACGCCCATCGTTTCCATCTGGTCCATGGCTGCTTGGGCACTACAGCAGCAGACTTGAGTAGCTGAGGCAGAGACCACGTGGCCCACAAAGTACAGTATTTGCTTTACATCTAGCTATTTACAGAAAAAGCTTGCCGACCTCGCTCTAGAGATTTGTAGCAAGGGGGCAGCGGGAGGCCCTAAGGCCTTGGGGGCATTCAAGAAGCCCCTGGCACATCATCCCACACCAGCAGACCCCAGATCTGGGCTCAGACATGGGGAGCATGTTGGGCTCAGGGGTGGTGGCATTTTAAGTGCATTCAGTAGACGTGACTGACTGAAGAGAAAGCCGTTGGAATACAGTCCTTTACCCAGAGCCCAGCTGCGTTCTTCAGCTGATGGGGGGTGGGCGATCTTTGTGCCTGACAGCTTCCAGTTTCAATTCTTGCCTCTCATGATACTGGTCTGTTTCTTCTCTCCCCACCCCACCCCCGCTTGTTCCTGTGAGAACAAAGAATGCCTTTTGCATTCTAGAAAACAGATGCGAATCCACGGTTTGTAGGGCTGAGTAAGTTTTCTAAACCTGTAAGACACCAGGACCCCTTACGGGCCATTTTGGGGGGAGAGTGCGGCATGAAGCTAGACTAACGTTAGTGACTCTCGGAAAGGGGTTAGAAGCATCAGGGAATAGCCAGCCTTCCAGAAGTGTTTCTGCTCCAAGGGGTTTTTCCAGTCATGAGGCCACTTTAACAGGAGGCAGCAAGCTACCATGTGGCCACCCCCTAAACATACCTTTATGCTGCGTTTGTGTAGCTCCCAGCAGGGTTGGAAGTGCCTCTTGGGGTGGGCTGATGACCAAGCCGGGCACTGGGTTGGGAACTGCAAGTATTTCATGGGCCCAGTGGGGGCGGGAGCATGAGGGAGAGGCCGGCGGGGATTGGATTTTGAAGGCTGCCTCGGCCATGTTAAGGAGCTTTGGGGTTATCCTCGGATTGTAAGGGGTTTAAGCAGTGGAGGCAGTCAGCTTTGCATTTACGAGGATCTTTCTGGCAGCTGTGGGGTGGGAGGTGGATCAGGGCCAGGATGGGGATGCTCGGTGATCTGTTTGTGACTCTTCGGGCTGATGGAGGACAGTGAGCCTGCCCCGATCACCAGGAGCAGCCTGGTTCCAGGGCCGTGGAGCATCCATGCCGGGGTGAGGAGTTGATCAGGACATTTTCATTCAGGGTGACTCGAGGGCTCCCTTCCATGACGTTCTATGGAACGTAAGAACTTCACGGTAAGGGCTAGGGGAAAGACTTTAAGGCCCAGGCTGTCTTCAGGCAGGACTGATTTTGGAGGCAGCCTCAGGAGCCCCATTGTCATCGCCTGCCCTCAGACTCCCAGCATGCCTGTGTTCTGCTTGCTCTGAGCCCCAGTTGAGTGTTTAGTCGTGGGACTAATCATGACTGCGTGAGGCCGGGCCGTTGTCCAGAGAAGGCCTGGGCCTTGCAGGCAGCCACGTGGGACTCAGGGGGTTGGACAGGGCTGGGGACAGGATCAAGGAGCACTCAGGACCAGCAGGCCATGAAGTGATGGGACGCATGAGGCCAGCTGGCCCCTCAGCTCCCCATTGCACCCCTGCAGCAAGGGACCCCAGCCTGCCAGCACGCGGGAGGGACCTGGGCTGAGTGTGGGGAGACCTCCGTGCACTCAGGAAGCTGGCTCTGGCCGAGCCAAGTCCTCATCCCGGTGAGACTCGGCTGTGGTGGCCTCTCTGGAAGTTTCTATAGTCACACTGTTGCCCTTGCAGACAGCTGAGCTTCTGCGACCAGGTCCCCTCAGCCTGCCTGCTGTCTCTCGCAGGGGCAGTCTCTCACAGTGACACTCCCTCATGGAGTCCCTCTGCCTCCTTGAGCCTTGTCCCCTCCTGCCTCCTTGCTGGGCTCTTCTGATGCCCGCCCCCTCGTCTACCCCTCCCACTAGAGCACCTTCCTGCACTGGTCACACCCCTGTCTCAGGCCTGCAGGGGCTCACATCCTCACCCCTCAAATCCAAACTGCTCTATGGTGGCCCCTCTCTCTCTAGTCTAATTCCAGGTCTCACCATACCATCGCTTGGCCTCTGGCCCTGCTGTTCTCATCTGCTGCTCTCTCCCATCCTTTCTCTACCGGGTGGATCCCATCCATCTTTCAGATCGTGGCCCAGGTGTCACTTTCCCAGGTAACCTTCCCTGGAACCGCCCCCCCCAGTTGAATTCAGTGCCTCCTCTGGGCCCCTACAGTACCCTGACCTCCACCACCCGCATTTGGGGCCTCTACACAGAGGACTAGCCTCCAACTTGCCCGTCAAGGCCTGCCCAGCGCCATCTCCTCCCTGCTTCCCAGCATTGAGTCACTCCTCTGCTCTATGCCTGTGCCAGCTTGCAGTGACTTCTTTTCTATGTCTCCCACTGGATGGTGGACTCCTTGGAGGAGGGAGTTGTGTGGCTTTCATCCTGTTGTCCTAATTGCACTGCCTGGCACATGAGCAGGCACTCAGGAAATATTGGATGAATGGGTCGTGGGTGGATAGGTGGATGGATGATGGATGATAGATGAATGATGGCTGGATGATGGATGATGGATGGATGGATCGGTGGATGGATGGGTGATGGATGGATGATGGCTAGTTCACTGAATGATGGATGGGTGGGTGGATGGATGAATGGGTGGGTAAATGGATGGCTAGATGATGGCTAGCTGGCTAGATGGATGGGTGAATGGATAATAGATGGATGGATGGGTGATGCCTGGATGGACCATGGCTGGCTGGCTGGCTGGCTCAGTGACATCTCCCACGTGAAAGGTGTGGTCAGCTGTCACAGGGTGCACAGTAGTGCACTGAGCCTGATTTGTGTCCTGCAGACCATGGGAGATGTTGAGGAGAAAGACTTGGCTGACCTTGGGGATTGGAAGGCCTATGAATGAGGCCAAGTCTTGGCCCCCTCTCTACTGCTCGTTCAAACTCTGGACTCTGGGGTGGGATAGTGAGCACTTGCAGAGGTTGAGACACAGTGAAATTGGGTCAAGAAGTGCTTTAAACTCATCAAATGCAGGCTCTTGGCAGATCACGAGACTGCTGTGGCTGAGATGCGTTGTGCTCTTCCTGGGTGCCAGGCCCTGGTCGAGCACCTGGCTTGGTGTGTACCCGGGACCCTGCCAGAGGCCCTCACAGCAGGTGCAGTGCCGTGCCCTGTGCCCTGTGCCCCGTGCCCCAGGCAAGGCTGTGTATTACTGACCAGACGCCTTCTTTTCTGACCACAGATCCCTTGGCCAAGCAGCAGGGAATCGTGAGCCTGTGAGCGGCTGGCCGGGAGCCTCGGGGACCACCCAGCCTTGCTCCCGGCTCACCCACAAGATGTGGACGGCCCTTGTGCTCATTTGGATTTCCTCCTGGTCCTTATCTGAAAGCCAAGTGACATCCCAGGATCCAAGTAAGTGAGAAAGCTGTGTGACTGCTGGACAGGCTGAGGGGTGTCTGCAAGTCCAAGCCAGCGACTCTGGAGCCCTAGAGCGCCCCAGCAGCTGGGCCGGGAAGGGTTGTCAGGCCGAGCTTCTCAGGGCCAGCGTTGGTAGGGAGCCCCCAACAGGACCAGGCCTCTGAGCCCTGAGAGGGTCACTTGGTGGGCCCTGCAAAATTTTATTTCTTCTGTAAACCTGATCTTCATTGCGGAGTGCATCCATTCATACATCAGATATTTAATTGCGCTCCTACTCTGCGCCAGGCACTGTTCATCTCCAGGAATTCCTGCTGCGGATCCTTTTGTAAAGCCGAGAATCCTTTTTATGGTGTGAATACCTGGGCAACGATTTATCTGCTTTGTAAACCCGGGTGTGCGTTTGATGGGTTTTTTTTTTTTAATGGTGAAGCACACCTGTAATGTGAGACTTTCACTCTGCTGTTTGGGGAATTGGATCAAAGAGTGAAACTCTTAAGCCTTTGATGGGCTTGGGGTTCAGAGAGGGCAAAGGAGTTTGTAAATCAAAGTGCCAAGTGCAGTGGCAGATGTGTGCAGCGAGCAGCTGAGAGGGAAACGTGTTCACACGTCACCTCCTTCCTTCGCACTGGGCTGAGAAGAAGGCAGGACAGAGCCCCGGCCAGCCCCACGGGCCAGAAATTCAAACGATTGCTGAGTAATCCATCTGCACAGGGTTGAAAGTGATTGTATCTTTCTCTCCCTTTTCTGACTTGAAGGGTACTCCGTCCTCAACACGACGTTGGATAAATCAGTCAAGACAAGTACATTCAAGGAAACAGTTACAGGAGTCTTTAATAAAACATCCGAAAGAATGACCGTGGTGACACCTTCCCCTGTCACATTGACCAGAGGGACTTTGGTAGCCAACCGCACCTCTCCTGCAGATACAGCAGAGAGAACAAACAGGACAGATATGGGCACTCCGGCGACTACAGAAGGTGCCCCTGACCGAGTAGCCTCCGGGGTGCCCACCCCACCCAGCATGGCGTCTGCAGGGCCAGCCCCGTCCTCCTCTGCTGCGCTCAGCACACCCCATGAGCAGGCGCCCAGCGGCAGCACGGTGCCAAGAGCAAACACTCTGATGACACTGGCCACGAGCGTGCAGACTGCTACTGGGAAAACAGCAGGGGCACACGGCGTGCTGGGCACACACAGTCTTCCCGAGCCCACATCCCACACCTTCACAGCCAGCCCTGTGCCCCCCACGAGTCCCCACGCCCCTAATGTGCCCACACAAGGCCCCACTGTCCCAGCGTCGACGGCCCAGCCTGTGGCTGACACAGCAAACAGGCCCACACCCACCTTCTCGAACACAACCGCAGAGCCCACTCCCACCTCCGTGGCTTCTGTGTCCACGACGGCGGTGACCACTACCAAGCCACAAGGGGAGGAGCCGGCTGCCAGCACAGTGCCAGCAGCTGTACCTCACACCAGCCCAAGCCCTGAGGTGGAGCCCACGTCCTCCACGACACAGCCAAGCCCTGCTCTGTCTACCCAGGGGCCCACGGGGCCAGGCACGCCCCAGACACCGGCGCAGGTCGAGCCTGAAGCCACACCTGGTACTGCTGCCGGGCAAACGCCTGGGAGCTCAGGGAACTCGAAGATGCCAGCCACAGACTCATGCCAGCCCAGCACCCAAGGCCAGTACCTGGTGGTCTCCACCGAGCCCCTCACCCTGTCCTTGGTGAACAAAAGCCTCCTGCTGGCGGTGCTGTTGCTCGGGGTGACCCTTTTCATCACAGTCTTGGTCCTGTTTGCCCTGCAAGCCTACGAGAGCTACAAGAAGAAGGACTATACACAGGTGGACTATTTGATCAATGGGATGTATGCAGACTCAGAAATGTGAGGGGGCGGTGGCCCGCGGGCTCCACCAGGGCCCTTGGAGGGCTGGGCCCATCCGTCCTCCCATTCTGCCTCTAAGACCAAACCAAGTGCTTCCGAATTCTTTGGTGCAATTTAGGAGATAGGCCAGATGCTGAAACATTTAATTGCTGTCATATTAACTCCATGAGCACTAAAGAGTTGCTGCTTCTTTCATATTTATTTTTGTAAACGATCACATTGATGGAGCAGGCAGTGATTCTGCCTCGGGGTGGGGCGGGCGGCCCGGCGTGGATCCTGACCAGAATTAAAGCAATGACTGCTTTCCGTTCAGACCGTGTCTCCCCATTTGTGTAGGCTGCGTCCTGCCCACCATCGCACCCAGGGAGCCTTTTCGAGGTGTGTATGATGGAGTTTGTTTTCGTAAACATTTAATCCAACACGAGACCCTGGAGGTCCGCTGTGTCTGGGCCGCTTTCTTGGGCTTCGCTCTTATGCCCAGCCCTGCCACCACTCGGTGGAAAAGCTTCAGCCTGTGAGGATATCTGGCCCATGTGGAGATGGAACCCCTCCTCTGACCCTCCTTTTTCTGGACTGTTAGGGGGTGAGCCTCTTGGAGCCCCATTCAGGCGTGAAAGAGCTGAATCCAACATGTAAACCACATATGAGCACGCGGTGTAGCCAGGTCAGCCTGGACCTGCTCAGACCAAACTCTGGGTGACCCTGCACGGCTCATGCTGTGCACTCACCTCATGGAAACCCAACAAGGTCATGCAGTGGGATGGTCACTGCTAGCCCCTTGCCCCAAGTCACCCTGGGGAACACCAGGCCCGAGTGAGCCCATGGCCCTCTCTCCCTAGCAGAACGATTGCCCTGGGTTCCAGGCCCCATGTCATGAACAGCCCTCAGAGCCGACTCTATGTGCCTGTCACATGCCAGCCGCTGTGCTGTGGTTAATGCATGTAACTCATTCAGCCCCCAACCCCAGGAGATCAGTGCTGCAATCCCCATTTTAAAGGCAGGGCCACTGAGGCACAGAATGGAGGTAACTTACCCACTGAGGGCCAGCGTTAGGGTTCAACCGGCTCTTTCTTTCACTACTTTGCCCAGGTGAGCTTGGCCTTCTGGCCTCTCTCTGCCCATCTTCCCAAGGCTGGGAGAGCTGCTGGGCAAACACGTCAAGCTGAGTTCCCAGGCCAGGTCTGCAGCTGCTAGCTGTGTGACCTGGAGCAAGTGTGGAATGTTCTGGAGCTCAGCTTCTTCATCCATAAAATGGGGAGACACAGAGTAACGTCATAGACCTGCAGCGTGGTGCCTGGCCTGAATCGGGGAGGGGAGTCGACTCTTGCTTCTGACTGCTCTGAACTCTGAGGAAGAGGCCTTTTTTTCTGGAGTCTGGTTTCCTCATCGCTGAGATCTCCCTGAGCCAGGCCTGGGTGCCCAGCTTCTCTTCAATTCTGCCTCCTGCAGAAAGGATTTCATATGGTCGATAATAAAACACAAAAATAGTGAACTCCCGAACCGTTTGAAATAACGTGAGAGCTGAGGAAGGAGAAACATACAGAGCACAGAGAGGGGGTCAGAGCTTCCGCATGGCCCTCACCCGGCTTCTGGCTCTTTCTCACTGGCTGGAGCCCAGCGGCCCCCTTTCCCCCCTCAAGCCTCTGCCCATCTCAGCCATGCTGTCTGTCCCCACAGCTGGGCTCCAACCAGCCTGAGTCCTTGCGTCTCTCCCTTCCAGAGAGACGCCGTCACACACCTGAGCCCATCTGCACGAGTGATCACAGGAGCTCGCCCTGGCCGTGGCTGGGAGGGCGTCAACCTCACTGTCCTGAGCTCCGGGTCGGCTTGCAGCATTGTCCTCCAGTCTGAGAAGCCACCTGCTGCCTGGGACAGGCAGCTCTGCACAGCAGGGTAGAGAATCCGGGGCCTTAAGACAAGGCCCTTTCCTCTGCCACCGTCACCTTGGTGGCCTGGGCCAGGCCCAGCCTGCGAAGGGCAGGCCCCACACCCTGGCCGGTTGAGTCTCACCCAAGAGAGCCAGACCTCAGAGGGTGTTGTGCACACTGGGTGCCTTGTTCCTTTCCGGGGAGGTAGGACAAGGGGCAGCCCCCACGGCTGGCTTTCATCCTCAGCTTGTGACCAGAAGCTCCTTCCTGACACCCCTATATCCAAGGAATGGGGCTGTGGGATGTCCCAGGGCTTGCCTGTCCCCTGCCCCAGCGAGGGACTCGAAGTCCTCTCATCCCCTCCAGCCCTCCCTCCCTGGGGGTCCTCTTCGCCACCATCCGCTGTCGTTTTGGCTCTCCTCGTGGGCCACGAGTTTGTAACATCCAAGGATAAGCTCAGCATCGGCCCGGGGTTGTGTTTGGCTCTGAGGGTTGTTCCTAAGACTAATGGCATTGCTGCTAACCTGAGCCAGAAACCGGTGGTTCACCCTGGAGTCCAGTGGACTGTCCTGAACATTCCTGTTAGTGGGCCACCCCCCTATCTGGGGCCCACCACCCACTGCCAGTTCTGACCCAGGTATCCCCCACTCTACAGCCAGGGACCCCTCAAAACACAAACCTGACCCCACCTTTCCCTGCCAATAGCCCTTCCCGGGGGAAATGCCCAGCCACTCCGCCCAGCTTTCCAGGTCGGGGCCAACCCTTCCAGTGGGTCCTGGCTGAGTGGAGCATGAGGGAAAGAGCCGGGCTCAAGAAAGCTCACAGGAGATGGAGAGCAAGGATAGCCCCCCCATGCAGGCCTGTCCAAATCTAGAGGGGCCGCACATCTGAACCCTGGCCTGTGCCCCTGCCGTGGAGCCCTCCAGACTGCAGTGAGCCAGGCAGCCCTTCCCAGAGGGCAGGAAAGTCCCACTCAGCATCAGTTCGTTAGGCGTTTATTGAGTGTTCATTGTTTGCCAGCCGACTGGGGATTCAGAGATGAACTGCCTGCCCCTGCCCCCCCAGGAGCTCATGGCCTGGTGGGTGAGACGTGAGGAGCGTGATGAAGAAGGTATGAGGTGGGCACGCAGGAGGCACCTGCCCCGCCTGGGGAGCTCAGGGAGGGCTGCCTGGCAGACGGGACTTGGAACCTCTCTCTCCCGGGCGTTTTGCTCCAGCGGCAGTGGCTGTGGCAGGTTCAGTGCGCAGAGCAACACTGGCACACGGGAGGAGCGGGGTCCCTATTCAGTGGATGGGAGTCTGAATGGAAGGTGCCAGAAGGCCCAGGTGGAATTGACAGTCAGATTTGTGTTTTGGCCCCTGAGGAAACTGAGGCACAGGAAGACCAAGTCGCTTGCCCAAGGTCACCCTCCAAGCAAGTGGCAGGACAGGATTCCCTCCAGGTCTGTCTGTCTGTCTGCAAATGTTGGCCGTGGAACAGGAGCCCTGGCAGCCGGGGCCACACGGAACACCAGGCTTGAGCCCTCTCGTCGTCTCCTCCTGGGCAGCCCGGCATCCTCAGGCCAGAGAAGTCCAAGGGCTCCCCCTGGTGGTCGAGCCTCCCTCCAGCCTCCCTCTCTCACCCTGGGTGCTGGTTCTGGCCAGAGACACTGGGTCCTGCCCTCCACACTGCCGTGCCCCCAACCTCTAACTTTCCCCAGGGGAATCCCTCCAGCCCAGCTCCCCTGGTGCCGGGAAGCCTTCCTGGTTCCCCCACACTGGAAGAACTCTCGCCCGTTTGGTGCTCCTAGACCAGTGGTCTCTTGTACTGTGGAACATTCTGGGTGGAATTATGTCCTTTGCGCGTGTAACTGTCTCCTCACCAGAGGGAAGCCACAAGTTCAAGGAGAGTGCAGTAAAGTCACATACAGGCCCCTGGGCTTCTGTCCAGAACCGACAAGCCATGTCCACACTCAGCCACAATTTTTATATCTACAACTTTGTTTAAAAACAAGGAGACCCAGCAGAGGAACTGATAATAGCTAATATTTTTTGAGCACTTACTATGTACCAGGCTCGAGCGCCTTAGAGCTATCACCTTATTTAATTATCTCAGACTACATCCTCGGCTCCCCCACCCCTACCCACAACTCGTCCTCCGCAGAGCAACCGGACGGTATTTTAAAAACATAATCTAGCTCATGACACTCCCCTACCTAGATCCTTCCAATGGCTTCTCCCTGCGATTAGGAAGAAAATAGCAACATGTGGACTGAGAACGGAAGTGGCCAGTGGAAGGCATTCATGAACAGTCAGGGAAATGGGGGATCCAGGCAGAGGGACGAGCGAATGCAGAGCCCCAGGACAGAGAGAAGCCTGGCGAGTGTGGGCAGCAGAAGGGCGGGGGGTGGGGGGGGGCGGTGGAATGGAAGAGACAGGTCGGGTCTCTGTGTTAGTGGCCAGTGGAAGGCATTCATGAACAGTCAGGGAAATGGGGGATCCAGGCAGAGGGACGAGCGAATGCAGAGCCCCAGGACAGAGAGAAGCCTGGCGAGTGTGGGCAGCAGAAGGGCGGGGGGGGGGGGGGGGCGGTGGAATGGAAGAGACAGGTCGGGTCTCTGTGTTAATGTCCGGCAATTTCCATAATCAAAAGTCAAAAGAGAAAGAGAAAGGAAGGGAGGGGTGGAATTTGATTTAAGTCTCCTAAGTAAATGATGCTTCTGGTTGCGACATGGAGGGCGGGTTGGGGGCAGCGCACAGGGACCCAGCTGGAGGCTGCTCTGTTGTCCCGGGGAGCGATGATGTGGCTTGGACTGGGGTGTGTTCGCACAGATGGAGAGAAGCTGATGAACTTGGGGACATGTTCTGGAAGCTGAGTCAACAGGACTTCCACTCTTTCTTTGCACACACCCCACAAGCATGGAGCAGAAGCCAGGACGATCCCTACGTTTTTGGCTTGAGGGACTGGGATGGAGGTGGTGTCATTTCCTGGGGGGAGGGGAAGAGTGAACCCTTATTTTCCGTGCTTACACATTAACTCATTTAATCCTTCTACAACCCTTTGAGATAGTACTCTCATTATCATCATCACCTCCAGCTCACGGAGGGGAAAATGAGGCCTCAAGGATTAGTGACGCTGCCCAGTGTCACACAGCTGGTGGGGGGCAGAGCCGGGATTCACGCCCAGGGACTCTACCCCAGCTTCCACACTCTTACCACTAGGTTCCGCTGCCTCCTGATGGGAGGATGTGGGAGGATTGGCGGGTAGGTGGGCAGGAAATCAAGAGTTTTATGGATGGGTTAAGGCTGTGTTATCTGCTGGATGTCAGGAGGACATGGGATACGAGTCT